TCCCACGAGACATCGGAAATTCTTGTTTACGCCGTTGAAAACTGTCACCGTCTCTTTTTTTTTTTCAGAGAGATTTCACTCACACGCTTACATCATTTGACGGTTCGACGTTGGATCGATCGTTACGATGATTATTTGCACATCTTGCGATTGAATTATATCGCTCGGTTACAAATATGTATATGTACGAGTAATTGGGTAATTATTTACATATCTGTAAATTGAATTCGAAAAGTCGCAGCTATCGTAGAATTTGGAAATAATCGAAACGAATCAGTTCGTGGGTTTTACTTGAAATATGTTTGGAACATAACCTATAAATTGTTTATTCGATTCCGTAGAATAAAACTAGTTAGTAGCTTGGATCAGTGCAAGTAGATCATTAAATTATTTCATAACGATATAATTTTGTAGAAGGTGAAGAAAGATAGTAAGTGATTGTAGACAATGATCAAAAGATATGTATGTATATGTATACTTATATGTATGTTTAACTTTAACACAAACGGAACGATATACTAAACATAAAAAGGGAACGTTTAAAGATATATCGTTAATCTAGGATATTGATAATCCATCGTAACAAATCAAACAAAGTACAACACTTGAAGATAATTATCCAAATATTTTGAGATAAAATGAGAATAAACGCGATATATATAGATATAAATATATAGATATAAAACCGCACGTGACACAGAAATCATTCTTAACGCGGACACATATATGAGCGCGGATATTTTTGAACAAGTTGTCATCGAGAAGATCGAACGGTTGATTTCACGGTTGCTTAAAGGGGGCGAGGAGAGCCGTAAGCATCTAGACGTCACATTATGATGTCAACGACTTCTTCCTGGACCACAAACCGCTTCGACCGTGTGTCCAGGATGAATGGTGACGCCACGGGTGGCACCCCGTCGGAGAGAACCGCATACAACCACTGGAAATGTGTCAATTTCGTCGAGATCATTCAAATCTAGATGAGAATCTTCAATCTCACAATCGGTCAATGTTTATTCGTTCATCTAATAAAAATAATTTTGTAAGACAATTTTCTTATGTTAATATGTATGTATATATATATATATATGACTATTTATGAATTATTTCTAATATTTAAACTAAATTTTCAATTAAAGATCTTTGTGAAAAAAACAGCCCACAAGATAAAATGGTGAGTTCAATATTAACTATGTTTGATTTAATATAAAGAACAATTTATATTCAATGGATGAATATTAATACTGGAAGAAACAGAATTTATTTTTATTATTCGTTCAATTTTATTGTTATTGAATATGAAACGTCCTGTCAATCTATATTCATGCAGTATGTATAGCATTTTAAGTATACCAGTGTATTGCCGTGAAACTTTATCCAACTTCTGTTATTAAGTATTTTTTATTTTCCTTCATATGCTAGCGTTCATAAACATGCAACTGTCATAAATCGATTTTTCATCGTAACTGAATCGAACCTGTTCACGGCAAAGAAGTTGACATTAATAACTGTTTTCCATTTACGTAACACACAAATCGAAACGCAATATTTTACCGTCGCTGATGTCTATGTACACTCGTATGTGACGCGTTTCATCACGGAAATAATACTATATATATTCCAGAAAGAATGGAAAGCTTTGTCTGATTTATTTGATGCAATGCCACGGTTTACCTCGCAAATTTTAGCGCAGTTTGATGATTATCAACGAGTACATTTTTACGTTCTCTACATATTGACACGTTTCGTTAGTAAAGTAAAACGTGTGATTCTGTTTGTCTCTGTCGTGAAACGTTTGTCTCTGCAAGTGATACTGACATCAATACAATCTCGAATTCACGCCGCCAGCAAATTGAAATATAAATATTTACTGTAAATGAGATAAAAAAAGGAATTAAATACGTTAATTGAGAACAAATGTTTCACTTTAATGAAAACAGAGTGTTTAAAACATTTTACATATAAAGACTACACAGCAAAAACAGAATGAATCACATTTACATTTTTTAAATGACAAGAGCTTCAAAATTAGGTATATTATCAAATAATCTTATGTTAACAAAATTGTCCTTTTATTTGTGTTTTAGGTTATACATGTATTTTTATATCTTGTTCAAAAACATTATTTTCTATAATATTGAACATTGAGACATTTAAATATTGAAGATAATAAAATATTTTGTCTTAATCTTTGAGTGAACCTGATAAGTTCCTTTCATTGTTAATTATTTAATATTAAAATATTTCTCCTTAATCACAAAATGACAACACTTATTAAGATGTACATATGTTTCTTTCTGTGGTCTTCATATCTGTCTTTCATAACCTCCTTTTTACGACACAAAAAAATACTCTCTAATGCATTTTGTTTTTTATATATACAGCTTACAAAAAATGTAATTATACATCTCAATAAACATAAAATCGTGAGAAATATTTCAAATGTCGTGTTTTGAAAATTTTTAGCTAGATGAATACTCAATTTTGAGAAAGATTATATGACGTGGAGGATAAACGACATATTATTTTCTCAGACTGCGAGGACTTTTGTAAAAACAAGGCTTCGCTTCCTAAAATAATGTCTGCCAACCAGATTTTTCGGTATGTCTTGTTTCAAAAGTTTCGTTCGAACGAAACGAGGACGCGGTTTGTTTTGCACACACCGTTTTCTATCTTTTCTGATTGACGTGAGACATTTCTCAAGCTTCGCACGTGTTATCGTCGAGAACCCTTCTGCTCTTCTTTCGTCACTTCCATGGGTCTCGGCCTCTTTCGATGGTTATTACAAAAAAAATATCTAGTCACGGTGCCGTCGGAACTTCCTGGAAAAAGAATTCATTGACAAGTGACTTCCTTGACATGTGCCAGATCGAAAGGTTCCTTTTTATATTTCTAGTGTCCATGAATTTGTGAATCGTTTATCAATATCGTCATATGTTTGTTTTATTATTCTAATGCACTACTTTGATCATGTGCAGTAAAATACATATTTACATACATGTACCCTTTGTTACAGGAAATATTTGCACATACCCTTATTTTTCAATGCAAATGATTTTTGTAGTAATGATACAAAATTTAATATACGTACTTTGGTTAAATTAATTAGTATGAAAGTTCATAAATACAATGGTGTACAAACATGTACTTTCTGTATCTACTGTATCATCTTATTTCCTTTATTACGTATAAACAGTAATAACCTTATTATTTAGAAGCAACCGTTTATACAAGTTATTAGCAGTAGAGAAAAATAGGAAAAGCATATGAGTTAACAAATTACTATTATAGTATTCATTCATTATAATATGATACATCCTATATCCCAATGTAAGTTAAAAAGACATTTAACGTCATACAACGCAAAGAGCAATTGAATGAAAATAACGACAACAAAAAATAGCAGACAAATAAAAATAATCAGACAAACATAAATATTCGTGTCCATCCAATTTCCTGACATCAAATCAATATTCTGGCTGTAACAATAATTCATGAATCGATCTCATGGTCCGAAGTGGTCAGAAGGAAGAGGTTTTAACGCGATCGATTTCGAAATTGCAGCTATCGCGACGACGTCTTGCGTGAACTTCACCAAATACGGGTTACGATTTCCACCGAAACAAATTCCACGCGTTCTGTGTATCGTCGCGCGCGAGATATTCATAGAAGACAATTAAATACCTAGTCAATCGTAGAACTTAACGAGCATCGCGAAAGAAGTATGTTCGTTTTGGGATGGATTCGTCCGATTTACTTGCGTGTCTCTTCGGCTGCATTCACATTGAATAAAGAAAGGTATAGCAGTCGGGGGTGTAATGAGGCTTATTTATTACCATAGGAGGTTCGACCAATAAGGAGACGGGATGGTGGTCGTAGCCATGCCCAGCAGCCAATGAGAAGAGAGATCGAGTAGCTGTCAGATGGGCCACGCCTCGGCCAATCGGCGCTTAGCTGCGCATGACAGAGTGTCTCAGTCTCGGAACACGCCGGAGCGGCAGTCCCTTCTGGTGCGTGCGTAGGAGAACGTCTCTCTTTCGCCCGGTCACGAGAGAGAGGGAGTGTGTAAATCTGACGTTTCGTTATCATTCTTCGAACAATCTCCGTCGCCGCAAATCCTTGGTACCCTTTGCGGTGTCGCGCGTGTTTTTGGTACTGATTATACGATTGACGCGTCGCGTGTTGTCGAGTAAGGAGTGTTAGGTGTTAGGAGTGTAACATAAACAACACACAGTGCGTTTCACGAATCGTTCCAATCAAGTGCTACATCATCCATTGTGTCGCGTGTTTCTCGATAGTAGAATCAAGAGCTAGAATCGATGCGCAAAAGGGTTTTTTCCTACTCGAAGTTTTAAATAAAAAAGAAAAGAAGAATCGAAAACGAGACACATAGAGGAGGACAGAGAAAACGGACTATTTAACACGGTCCTAATAATAGCCAGTGCGCGTTCGTACGCGAGTATACTAAGCGCCTATAAATACACAGCTACCACGGGCCGC